CCTTATACCAGGATCAGTACTACCGAATAGCCGAATTGACCCGCCTACAAATTGGGGCCTATAGAGTACAATGAGCTATAACGATAGGTGCAAGATCTCATTGTGAGGGGGCTAGTCAGAGAGAGTATCAGTATGTGTTGTTCTCGCCCTGATGGTGCCCAAGAAGGACAGGTTGTGGCGAATGTGTATCGACAATAAGACCATCAACAAGATTACTATCAAGTACCAATTTCCTATATATCGCCTGGATGATCTCTTGCGCCAGTTACACAGAGCCAATTTCTTTTCCAAAATCAACTTGCACGGTGGATATCAACAGATACATGTGAGGCCAAGAGACGAGTGAAAGAACATTTTCAAGACACGGGATGAACTACACGAGTGGACATTTATGTCCTTTGGCTTGTCAAACGCCCAACACCTTCATGAAGTTGATGAACAAAGTATTTCGGGCCAATATTGAAAATTTTGTCATGGTTCAAATCGAAGACATTTTGGCATACAACCAAACTAAAGAGCACTTGCAACACTTGAAGGCAGTGTTTGAGGTATAGCGAGCAAAGAAATTATATAACCATCCAAATAATTGCCACTTCATGAGATCCAATTAAGCTTTCTGGAGGCATTCAAATTGACCCTGTGAAAATTGAGGCTATTATAATATGGACGACACCACAATTGTTTACCGAGCTGAGGCAGATTCTGGGGCTAGCGTCGTCCTACCAGTGATTCATCAAGAATTTCAGCACTGTCACCACCCCTCTAGCAAAGCTTTTGAAAGAAAAGAAGTTCACTTAGACAGCGGCAACTCAGACCAATTTTGACACTCTGAAGGAGAAGATGACTTAGACATCCATGTTAGCATTACTAAACTTCAACCAATTATTTGAGCTAGAATGTGTGCATCTGGCATGGGGATAGGGGCAATAGGTCACCTATTGACTTTTTTAGTGAGAAGTTGAATAATTTTAGGAGGAAGTACTCTACATACGCAAGGAACTTTATATTATTGTATGCATTTTGGAGCATTGGAGTCATTGCTTGCCGACGAGCGAGTTCACGTTGTTCATAGATCATGATGCCCTGAAATTTTTCAATAGTCAGAGCAAACGGAAGGGCGGACACGCCACCTAGGTGGAATTTCTAGCATCATTCTAGTTCTTGCTTAAGCAGAAAACAAAAAGTCGGAATAGCGTAGCAGATGCACTAAGCCGTCGTCACCTTTTTGATGACATCAATGTAGACTAGAGTTGTGGGTTTTGTACGAGGCAAAAAAGGACTTCAAGGACATTAGTGAGCAATGTCAGGAGAAGCCGACTGGACAGTACTGCTGAGCAGATGGATACATGTTCCATTAGAGCCGGTTGTGCATTCCCAGGTGCTCGCTAGGGTTATTGTGCAGGCCAACCACAATGAAGGAATGGCAAGATATATTAGCAGGGATGAAACTCACCCTCATGATAAATTTTTTTTTTTTGCCACAATTGATGAGACATGTGGAGACGTAGATAGTGCAAAATTTTCCATCTGGCAAATACAAGAGAGCAAAATTTTGGAGTGTAAACTTCATTACCAGTATCTTCGTGGTAGGTCTCTTGAGGACACAGAAGGACAATAACTCTGTGATTGTTGTGGTGAACTGATTCTAGAAGATGACACATTTCGTACCATGACACTGGACACTAGATGAGTTATATCACTGATTAATAATTCAAAGTGATGGCGAGGTCGCACGGGATTCCCAAGACCATCACTTACGACAGAGACATTAAATTTTTGAGCCACTTCTGGAGAACCTTGCAGGTGAAGCTAAACACCAAGCACCAATTCAATTCAACTGCTCATCCACAAACAAAGGTAGTGAAAAAGAGCCGAGGAAACCTTCTCAGATGTTTCATGGGAAAGAATATCAAGTAGTGGGATCTTATTTTAGCTCAAGTTTGAGATTTTGTATGAGCACAATCCGCTCATGCCACTTGAGTTGGAACCACTCCTGCTGA